CAAGTTATGTTAAATTAGTGTCTACCCTAATAACCTCATCTTAACTTCGTTACCTCTGAAAACACCTATCTCCAAATTTAGTCACATTTTGTGGTATTGTGGGCCACAACTTCAACATATTAATTTTGGCAGCATACAGATCAATCCATAAAACCATGTAAAGTAACATTTCGTAGGTTCTGGAGATCCAGATGTGTATGTCTTTGTGGGGGCCATTATTCTGCTGACATCAAAAGTGAATGATGAAAGAGAAACCATGGGGACCTTCCTACTGCTGCAGTATGAATGGCATGTCACCCCTGTGAATGGGACACAGCTATCAACTACAGAAATAAAATAATGTGCTCTGCACAAGGAACACCTCCCAGCCTTGATCATTCAAACAAAAATGGACCAATTGTTTGGTTTTCCATTGAGGGCCTCTTCTTCTTGCTCTGCCCGTTCAAGGTCACTTGCTTTGCAGGTAAATACAAGTCAACTCAGGAAACATCCACAGCTCTGGGTAATGGCACTATTTGAAACCAGTGACAGAAGGAATATTCTCTGGATTCAGTTATTCAACATATATTGATGTACAATATGAATACATATTGAATCATGAACAATGAATAATGAACAATATTGAATACAACATATATTGATATACAATACAATATATTGATGTACAATATGCCATATGCCATATACTATTAGTGACTTTCAACTGCACATTTAACCTAAATATTCTATTATATGTAAATATCATTGTATTATTTTATTTAAAAAATGAGGTTCAGGGAGGATATGTAAGTGGATTTGAAGGAAAGAGATTCAAACATAGCAATATCTGACCCCAAAATCTTGTTCTTTGAGAACATTCTTCTTTCACTATGATTTTCAAGCACCAGTGACCTCTGGAGCAGATGTTGTTTGTTCTCAAGAACTGTTCCCTTAAAGCAGGTGTCCCCAACCCCCGGGTTGTGGACCAATACTGGTCTGTGGCCTGTCAGGATCTGGGCAGAACAGCAGGAGGTAAGGCAAGCCAGCACTGCCTTCCTGAGTTCTGTTTCCTGTCAGGTCAGCGGCGGCATTAGATTCTCATAGGAGCCAGAACCCAACTGTGAACCATACATGCGAGAGACCTAGGTTGTGCGCTCATTTATGAGAATATAATGATAAATGTAATCAGCTTGAATAATCCCCAAACCATCCTCCACCCCACCCAGGTCTGTGGAAAAATTGTCTTCCTCGAAACCAGTCTCTGGTGCTAAAAAGGTTGGAGACTGCTGCCTTACAGAGTCTGCAATACAGAGGTCATTCATTCAGAGTACTTAAGAGAGTTGAGGAGCTTTTTTTTCTGTATTAATTCTTTCTGAGGAAGGTAGAACCATCTGATTTAATTCCTTTTTGTAATAACAGCACACATACATTCAGTGCGTACTCTGTGTCAGGAACTTTATGTGTGATAATATGAGAAGGGTATCATTATTTTCCCCATTTTCCAGAGGAAGAAACTGAGGTTAAGTAATGTGGGTGAAGTTATAGAGCTAATGTTGCAAAGCTAGAATCTGCTGGTTCCAGAACCTGCCCTCTTGGGGTTTGTGATGTTGACTGCATGTCTATTTTGGGGGAGCTCACTTCCTGTTCTTTTTCTACTTATAAGTAGGACCTAAAAGACATCGGCTATAAACATGATAGACTCACAAAAACATCAAGAAAAAGCCATAGCCATGGTAACAATTAAAGAACAGGACAGTGCATAATGAGTGCTAATTATGGGCAAAGGATAAGTGAATTAGGAGCCAGACAAGAAAGGGATACAGAAAGTTCATTGGTTTTGCAGCTTTAAATCAGCCACAATGAACGATACCCCTCTTTCCTGCTAATGCAACAAAGACTGAGACAGATGAGAGCTAAGTATCTCCTTTATTACCAATAGAGGCTGTGATGGAGGGTATAACTGTGACAGAGCCAAGATACCCACTAGCTGAACCCCAGAACTAGGCACACTGACCCAGGGAGGAAGAGGCCACCCCAGACCCAGGTAGATCTCTCTCCTACAGGGAAGCATCCCTGAGGAGCAGCAGAGAAGCCTCGCAGGCTAAATGCTCCCTGATGCATCTCATTCCCAAGAGGAAGGACAGAGCTGATGGAAGCATTTATAGCCATTCTTCCCCAATTTATCAATAAATAAGTCCCGCTATCTCCTGAGGCAGGCACAGTGTTTCTGCCAACTCAAAGTGGCTTCCAGGAAGAGGTGAATCCATAAAGACAAGCAGACTCCATAGCCGGAAAGGGCATTATATACTCCAAAGAATACACCAATACTTCTCTAATGTTTAGCTCCATGAGAATAAGGATACTGTCTCTAGCTTGCTTATGCATCTCCAGGGTCTACCCTAGTGCTGGACGGAGACTAAGAGCTAAAGAGTTAAGTGATGCTGGAATGAATGTGTGACCCTCGACAAAAAAGCTGATCTGAAACACCACATAAAATCAAGGGCCTCAACGTGAGATAAAGTTTGCTGGAAACTGCATCTCTATAACAGCTTTTATATTTAAAGGATGATTATATGTGGGGAGAGAAAAATAATTACACTGAGAACTGAACTTTTAAGCATAGCATTTTCCTTTGTCAATTAGTTGACTCAGGGCAATTATAACAATATCATGAATATGGGATTTAAATACCTTATGGATAGTTAAATTCCTGGAATGTAAGTACATGTTGAAGGCATGGAGAACTCAGATCTCTTCTTCATTTGAAGAAATGACGTAAAATATAGTGGAGTCCTCTTTCTAGTTTTATGAAGTAATATGTTCAGGTAGAGAATGGAAGGAGAGAATTCTATCATGATACAGGAAAAAAGCATAGAACTTGACTTTGATCTGTTTCTAAATCCAACACTGTTAGTTGCAAGCTGGAACATAAAACCTTTAAGAAGTTCCTTCTCTGTACGTAAAACTAGGGGAAAGGAAAGGAGAGTATTCAAATCTCTCAGCATACAGCTACTGAATAAATGTCATGTTTTTATTTGCCTCTTCATTTCTCTTTCTTGTTTCCCATACCATCTAATAGATTTTTCTAAGATTGCACAAAATAGTTATTTTTCATTAGTTTACAGAATTACTTTACAATAATCATTATCGTGCATATATTGAAATATCGTAACTTGATTATTTTAAATATGAAAGCTTTTTTTTTTTTAAATTTAAGAACTAACTGCTAGTACATATACACCATGGAATACTATGCAGCCATAAAAAGGAACCTGACAGTGTCCTCTGCAAAGACATAGTTGGAGCTGGAAGCCATTATCCTCAACAAACTAACACAGGAACAGAAAGTCAAACGTCACATGTTCTCACTTATAAGCGGAAGCTGAACAATGAGAACATATGGACACAGGGAGGGGAACAACACACACTGCGGCCTGTCAAGGGGGTGGAGGGAGGGAGAACATCAGGAAAAATAGCTAATGCACGTGGGGCTTAATACCTAGGTGATGGGCCCATCGGTGCAGCAAACCACCATGGCACATGTTTACCTATGTGACAAACCTGCACGTCACATCCTGCACATGTATCCTGGAACTTAAAAGAAATTTTTTTTTTTTTTTTTAAAAATGAACTAATTGCCTAAGCTTCAAAGCATTCTACAAAATATTTATTTCCACCACAAAGCAGGTTTATATATGTATATAAACTATATATATATGAACTGTATATATAAACTATATATATGAACTATATATAAACTATATATCTATATCTATATCTATATATAGCCAGCTCTTATAAGTGTCATTGTAAACATTTCCAAAAGAACAGTGTTCCAAAGTCTATGGAAAGAGAACTGTACTATTGTCTAAGAGACTTCTTGTGGCATTAGTGCTATTTCAAATCTAGAATTAAAACAAGGCTTTTTTGTCCCAGCTACACGGGAGGCTGAGGCAGGAGAATGGCGTAAACCCGGGAGGCGGAACTTGCAGTGAGCTGAGATCCGGCCACTGCACTCCAGCCTGGGCGACAAAGCTAGACTCCGTCTCAAAAAAAAAAAAAAAAAAAAAAAAAAGGAAAAGCCAGCACCAGTGGTTTTCAGGGACAATACGGACATACTCTAGAGGACTTCAGTGGGGACTCCAAGACAGAAAGCAGCTGCTAGAATGTGCTGACTGAAGCTGAGAGTTCAGAGTAGGAGGTAAGGGTCTGAGAGTCACAGTTCAAATGCTCCTTGGACCTTCCTATTACAAACAGAACTGGGAACTCATGAGAATGATTAGACTGAATTGTAATTTTTCTGTTCATGCACATCTGTGAGCTCCTAAGTAAGGGATTGAATTTCATTCTTCTTCATAAATCTCTACCCATGTACCTAGCACAGAGGCTGCTGTTTGGGAGGTACCTAATACATATTGATTCAACTGAACTGATGGGCCTGCCAGGAGAGAAAACTTTTTTTTCTTCCTGAAGAGTGTGAGGTTCCCAGTATCCTTGAATAAGGCCTAAAAGAGCAAATCATCAAGATCTACTCATCAAAAGATCAGCCAGCTTTGGTCCCAAAACCTAAAATCAAAGAGAGTACCACAATTTGCCATTGCCCTGAAGGTATTCCAGCACTCAGCAGGCGCTAGTAATTTGAACAAGGGGACCCCTTCAAGCCTGCAATACTGCAATTTTTGTAGCACTGATATGTGTAATTTTGACCACAGTTTAACACAGGATAACAAATAAAAGCAGTATTTTATTTGTCTATAGTTGTTTATCTAACACAATAGACTATAAGCTTTTTTCTGAAATTGTATTTACTGTGATACTTTACCTAAATTAACTAAGCATTCCTCCTCTGCAGTATCATCTGCACAGGGCCAAAGTCTCCATTAGAAGTCTTAGGCACATTGCCCAGAGTTTATGGTGCCTTGAATGCTTCCCAAAAATGATTTAATTTCTTTTAAAAATCAGAAAAATATAAACTTTTAGGTTAAAGAAGATATTTAAATAAAGAAGAAAATATATTCACCTGTATGCTAATGCAGTCATAAAATATAATTTTAACTTGGCAAGGCAGGGAGCGGGATTCATAAAGGAAAACATCATAAAAGTCATAACTGGACCTTGTAACCACATCTGCCAAGATGTGTCAAAGTTGGTGTTATAAAGTAGATAATCTTGAAAATCCTGTTTTTGGGGAAAAAAAGTCAGTCCATTTGTCACAGATGGATGGATTGTTGTTACATACACAGAGACAAAATTGGGAGTTGGGATGGGGTGGTGGGGGAGGCAGGAGATGGGTGAGCTGAGTTGGAAGGAACAACGATCCTCCGTGTTTTATGATTGTGACCCTCATTTCCTCTCTCACTAACAGACTGCTGTAGCTAATTAGCAAATCAAAAGAAACAGAAACAATTCTAGACCTCAGCACAATCAAATTAGTGGAGTTATTTGAGGATATCATTTTCACACAGTGCAATCATGCTCTCTTTGTTTTGGTCAAACGAGTGAAAATTATCTTTCAAACCCGACGCCCTTCCCTCTACCCAACTGGCTCTGTGGATAGTGGCATTTCCTATCTGCTCTCATAAGTTTTACAGATGATCTTTTTCTATTAAGACAGGAATGTACAATGTACAATTAAACAATACCCAACAAGCTTCCCTTTTAAAAATACATTTGACTTTTAAGGTGATTCAGCAGTAAGAGCCATTAGTACATCATCTAAATCAGGACTTGGAAAGTTTATTAAAATTGGATTTTTAACCTGATCCCAATTTCCTTTGCAGATAAAGAGTCCCACTGGAGTCTTTAATATTCATGCTATTAACCTGAAAGATTCAAACAACCATGATGGGAAGAGAGGCTATACAGGGCTGCCCACTAGACTAAGGTTACAAATAAAATCCCATTGAGTCTGGGCAGGTAGACTACTGTGGATTCTGGGCATCTTCAAAAGGAGCAAATTCTCTCTTTTTCTCCTCTCTGCTTTACCTGACTTCCCCCTCTCCTATTACATATTTTGGGGGAAAGAGAAAAACTACAAAAATAGCAAACATAAGCACACTACTCAATTACATAGAGCACTGGACTAGGAGTCTAGTTTTTACTGGAAGGGTGGTTTCCTCCTCTAGTGCTCTAATGAACTCCCTCAATTATAAAACAGGGAAGTCTGGGCTAATAATCTCTAAGATTGGTTGAGAAGATGCACTTTGGAGTCAGGTGAGAACTATTTGAATATCAATCCTACCACTTATTAGTATGTCACCTTGAATGCGTCACTAAACTCTTCTAAAGCTCTGTTTCCCCATTCATAAAATGAACAAAAGGTGCAGCTCATATGATTCATTTTGCATCGTACCTGGCACTGGAAGCCTTAGATACACGTTAGCTGGTATTATTACTGATCACTGCCCAAACGCATAGGTCAGTTGCTTTTGTTTCTATTTCATGCCTTTTCACTCCTTGAGCCTTTATCTTCTTCAGGACAATTTGCAACTGTGTTAACTGATGCCTGTGAGTTTCTGTAAAGATAGGCTATGAGTGCTAGCCTTGTTTTTCCTTGACATAAGATTTTATGCTCCCTTAGGGCAATAGAGATGTCTTAATTTTTCATCTCTCCCTTGGTAACTGGCATAGTGTTATACACATACCAGGTGCTCAATAAAGACTTGGAGATCTTAAAATATCAGCAGTACAGAGATCTTCCACGAAAACCCTCTCATTTTTCAGTTGTTGGCACAGAGAACAAGAGTCTTGGGCCACACATCTATGACTGACAGCCACTTCGCCAGTCCACTACCACCGTGTCTTCTAGGAGCCTCTATTCTCATGCCTCTGGCTTTGAAAGATAAACATGTTTGACTCAAACCCTGACTCCTAGAGGGAAGTTTCATTTACAAACTTTGTTTTTTCTTGAGAGCATAGTATATTTCAGATACCATACAGGATTCATCATTAAATCATGATACCAGAGCTCAAAGCATTTATAATCTATCAGGGAAGACAGATCCCTAAATAGATGTTTCAATAATGTGCTTGTGTTGTTACAGGAGAGCTAAGTAAGCTCTGGTACTATATGAACTTCTGGATGAGAAACCTAACTCATGACCAGAAGACTTCAGGAAGAGCTATTTAGGAGCAGTGGCAAATGCCTGGACTCACACACAAAGCTAAGTAAGAACAAAATAGCCAGTGGATATTTTTATTTATCTGAATGTAAGAACACTGATTATTGAACAATGAACAATTGCTCAGATTTTAAAAGAAATGAGGAAAAGTAAAATGCTAGTCCTCAAATTCCTGTCACTTCACACATGTGCCCTGCAATCATTTCCTGCAAATGGAAACTTCTAACAAAAACTCTGGGCTGGAAACCTGGGGTTCCAGTTTCTTTCAAGGTCTTGTGGTAGGGAACTGAGTAGGTCAGTAACCTGCGTTTGGCTTCCAGGGTGCAAACAGAATCATTGCTAACCCCCTTTGTGTCTCACAATGGGTAATGAAATTCATACTATGGCACCAAAGCACTTTGAACTCTTTAGAAAAAGTAATCATATCAACTTAGAGCATCAAAACTGCCCCGTATTTTGAAGGACTCATGATCTGCACTGTGCTTGGCTGCTGGTGGAAGCTTAAAGACACCAGTAATTGGCAGAGCTTTATCTTACACTTCCATTTGACCCTCACAACCTCACACATGATTTTACACAGCTTCCTGTAATGGGGGAGAAAAGCACTTCTTTTAAATCTAATGTTAGTTGAAATGCTAAGGCTTTCAAAGTGGGCTTTAAAGTCACTTTTTAGAAACTGTATTTTTTTTTTTTTTTTACTTAAAATAGACATGCCAACATTATTCTGACTGAAAGAAGCAGACAAGGTCATTCAACTCCTAAAAGCTTATTTTCCAAAAGCACAGTTAGGTCTCAGCTTTCGGGGTGCTTCCGGCTTTATCAAAAAGACAGAAAATACTGGTCACTGTGTTTCTTTCTCAAAGTGCCGAGGGTAATCTGTGTATGAGATAAGGGGCCAATTTCCTATAGGAACCTTCTCTTAGATGGGAGAATATTTTTAAATTAAACAATGTTGGTGTAATATATTTAAAGGTAAATCACAAATTCTAAGTCTTCCAAATATTTATTTACTAATATGTAAGACATGGAAACTATAGAAATCTCATTTAAAGGAAGTTACTTTGATGAAATTTGTTTTTTGGGGGGTATGATTGCTGTTCGCCCTTGTTTGCTTTGGCTCAGGTAAGCAGGCAAGCCCGTTTTTCCAAGGCGATTCCAACTCCACGCCCCTCAAAACCTTAAATCCTAAATTGAGTTATTGGGTGCAGGTCGGTTCTCCCACAGAACCTCCCAGCATCCGGAACAGAGGGGCGGGGCAGAAAGACTCTGCTTTTTATTTCAGAGCTGACGTTTGCAATCCTAGTGCACTAGCAAAAAAAAAAAAAAAAAAAAAAAAAAAAAAAAAAAAAAAAAGAAAAGAAAAGAAAAAAAAAAGAAAAAAGCTGAATTTTCCGCGCTCTTCTGGCAAATTGGCGTCCACTCTCTGACGCGAAACCAAAGGAGGAGTATTCAATGGCGACAGGGCGCTCTTTGAAGCCGGCTCCTCGCGGGGATTCCGGCCCAGGCTGCCGCCGCGGTCCCAGTCCGGCTGCAGAGCGAACTGGAGAGGATGGAATCTCCTGCTTCCCGCGGGGCGGAAGGAGCGCCAGGGCCTAAGGTGGGTCACCTGCCGGGAAGGGAACACTGGTGGTGCAGACGCACGTGGGAGGAGCACAGGTCCCGGGTACAAGTGCCGAGCTGGCGACTTGGGGAAGAGGTAGGCTCGGGCTCAGACCAAGCAGGCGTGAGGGAGTAGACCGGACGTCCCAGGTTTGCAGTGACGGCGGAATCACCCACCCAGCCGCCTCACCTTTCTGGAGCGCTGGTCCTCTCCCTTGGACTGAAACCCGAGGGGCCGCCGCACCGGGTGGGTGGGACCGACTACTCCAGGACCCGCCGTTGGAGCTGCGTGCCAGGCGGGGCTGTGCGGAGCAGCTGAGCACAGAACGGTGCACCAGGCACCTAGCGGGCCGGACTCGGGTTGGCACCCAAGCCGGCCGGACAGCAGTGGGCGCTCGCGATCCTCCTCTGCCCAACGCGCTCTCCCTCCGGGCTCGGCCTCCTCCGTCCCCTCCTTCTGCTCCTGCTCCTCCTCCTGCTCCTCCCCTCCTCGGGATTGAGCACCAAAACGCCCGCCTGCAAGGTCCTAGGCGCGCTGGCAGCCAAGAGTCGCCGCCACCACCACCGGGTCTCAGTGGGTGCCTGCGCCTTTTCCCCGCCCGCCTGCCCCGGGCCGTTCAGAAACTTGCTCCACCCGCCGCGGGTGCTCGGCAGTACTGCCCATGGCCCAGCCCAGGAGCCTATTTAGGGCGCCGGACGGGCTGGACAGAGGCGCGGCTCAGGTGAGTGCGGCGCGCGCGGGGTGGGAGAGTGGCAGGACGCAGGTGTGAGGGGCTCCGAGGCGCCTTAGTCTGGCGTTCTGGACTTCGGGCAAGTGCAGAACCCAAGAAGAATCGGGGCTGGAGCAGGTGGAGTGGATGCAGAGGGAAGCAGGAAGAAGAGGCTGGGGATTTTCCCATCCTCCTCACCTCTTACCCTAGCACCTCTGCTCTGGAAGTCCCGAGGGACCGGTTGATCTGTAAGGACAGGGATCCGGATTTCTGACTCTTACTGGGTTGGGTGTTTTTCCCCCCAGCAGAGTCGGGAGGTTCGCTCCTGCCAGCTGCTTGGCGACCGCAGCTTCAACATAGGACCCTGTGGGCCAGCGAGAGCGCAGCACTCAACGGAACCTGGGTACCACCTGGGGCCAGAAACTGGGGCGATGACACAGCCCGCAAAAGTAACTCGGTCGAGGGAGCCTTTGAGGGTAGAGAAGCCTTGGTCGGGTTTGCCTTTGCATTTGGTTGGAGATAGGCATCCCCAAGGGAGAAATTGAGGCGACAGCCCTGACAATAAGTAAACCTGTCATCCCCAATGCTAATTACGTGAGGGTCTTTTTTTTCTTGTTACTTTATACTGATATTTTTTTCCCCTCGTGGGTTTCTATTTCCGGGCCCTTGGGCAGCGGATGGAGGTGAGGGATGACGGGGCGCGAACCTGCGGTTGGAGCGCCTAGCCCCCGGATCCCAGGAAGGGTTTTATTCGCGGAACTTGACCTCGCCAGGTGCGCTCTACCAGCCAGGGGGCGGACCGCGCGCTGCTCCTCCTTCTGGCCCCAGCCCGTCCCGGGAAGCGGAGGACAGACCCAGAATGTAGGCGGATGATGGGAAGAAGCAGCTAGAGCCAAAGCCGGGTGCCGGCGCGGGATGGGGTGTGCTGGACTCTTGCAGTTATTTGCCGGCGCTATAGGGCTTCCATCTCTTTCCCTCCGCCGGGAGCCAGCGATTCATCGCACACTCAGGGTGCTCTCTTGAGCCGGGGGTTGCATCCTTCTCTCTTCCTCCTCCTTTGCAGAGCCAGTGGTACCCTTGCCTCGCCTTGCGCGAGTCTCGCTCCTCCCTTCCCCACAACGTTATCGTGAGCTATTTTTATCTACAACTTATGCCAAGATGCTTTTGGGGGGATTCTAGGGAGGCCACTCCAAATCCACTGTCTTTGCGCTGCGCTCCGAGAAGCAGTCTCCTGCTAGCATGGAGCAGCCTCAAGGAGTGGCGGAGAGAGGAGTCGAGAACGGAGGAACCAGTCCGCCCTCTTCTCCTCCCTCAGCCCTAGCCCCGGAGGGAAACCCCGCCACCACCAGCTCGGCTGCGCCTTCCGCCACTAGCCCAGGAAGAGGGTCCCCAGACGAGTCCTCACGCTCTCGCTCTCAGGCACTGGGTGCTCAGGGACTGCTGAGGCAGCAGCCTGGCACAGGCAGGATCCTTCATTTCCACCCGTGCGTTCTCGCTTTGCAGGCAAATCTCATTTTATGTTGTTGAAATGCTTCCACCCAAGGGTTAATTCCAGGAATTCCATCTTAAAAAAAAAAAAAAAAAAAAAAAAAAAAGGAGGGAGAAATAACCCAACTTCTTCTGCCGCCCTGCATTTCTAAAGCAAAGCGCATCCTTTGGCGTTCGAATTTTTTTCTTGCTTTCTGCATTCCTGGTAATTTTGGGTAACACCGGGTGCAATTAGACTAAGACTTACCTACTAAAATTCCAAGAAACGCGCGCTTGGCTGCAAATCCCTGCCTTACCCTTCCCTTTGTATATCCAGCGCTTAGATTTTCCCCCACAGGATTGCAGAAATAACATATTGAAATGGACCATTGTGTTACATAAGGTTTTCTCCAGCGTTAAGCGGAGAAAGAACAGCTTCTAAAAGAGTCTCTCCAGGTTTTTGGTTAGCCCGTCTAACTCTTTCAGCTGAGTTTGACAGGGATGGACAACTTCATGACTAAGCACTCTTAAGTGAAAGTGGTTAATTACAACAGCAGCATAGATGAAGATTCCTTAGTGAGGCTTATTAAGCTGTGCTTCTAGACTGTGGATCCTCTGTGAAACCACAGGGTATACAATGCTCTGTAGTTTTAAGATGGGAGATTTTTGTTCTGAGAAGCTGGTGAGAAAGTGGCACCTTGAGATGGCATCAGAAAAAGCAAAGGGTTCTTTACTTTCCTGTCATTATGTCTAGGATGCAGCCTCAAGTCCTCCTAGGGTTCCCCCAAAAGTTGGAGCATGTACTTTTCTTATTAAAATAAGAAATTATTTTACTGGAAAAATCCGGGGGGCGGTGTCTCTGAAGGGAAAAGTCACATGGAAGCTTTTCTTGCCTTGAATTGAAACTTGATGTTGACTAGGAAGGGGCTGGAAAGATGGCCTGGGTGGTGTAAATGGTTTCATCCGTGCACAGTGCCTTTCGAGACCATGGCATCTACCCATGATGGCATATCCCCACCGTGGTTGCTAAATCGTGTCTGTCTATGGGGGCTAAGGTTTGGAGGAAGGCACGGTAGGATGTATTGGGTGTCCTGATGAAATTGAGCCTGTCCCCTGGGTCAGTGCTCAGGCACCAGGTTTCGGGGCCTGCATCTAAGCCTGAGTCCCTGTGTTAGAGACAGTTGTTGTAGGAGGAGTGGTAACATTTTAGCAGCTTCCAGGGAAATGCAGTAACTTTCCAGCTAGTGTTGGAAAAAATCAGGGCTAGTCCTCATTTTTTCCCTCAACCTGGCTACTTGACCTCGTGCTTTCAATTGAGGCTGCTCTTTTCTTACGGCAGAAGGCAAGAGAGTGCTAGCTGGATTTAAAGTTAACTTCTTAGCCCATGACCTTGGGCAACAATTTCTCCCTCCCTGAGCCTAAGTTTCTTCCTCTGCAAAATAGTGATGAAAAGATTATTATAAGAAAGTGAGAAAATGTATACGAAATGCATCTTGCCGATTATAGGACACTTGTGCAATTGTAAAGGGTAAAAAATACAAAAAAAAAAAAGTTTTATCGTAGATCTATTTTAATGTTCATTTTAATTGTAGTTTGCATATGTTTGAGTAAATTACATATGCTAAACATTAAGTGGGAGAGATTTCATATAATTGGCCAGTCTCTTCTTGTGGTCATCCCATCTGAATGCTACAAGCAGCGGGCCTCACTGCTTCTCAGAATGATTCCTTTCTTGTTTACAGGATCACAGTCAATTTTTAGAGTTTTTTTCCTTTTAACATAATACGTGTTACATGTCTTAAGAAAATCTATTTGAAGAGAAGGCCCTGATGTTAATTAATCAAAAAAAGGAGAAAAGTCACAAATGGGCAGTGACTCCACTGGGGAAAAGTAAAACACGACCAGTGTCACGAGATGACCCGGGTCCCCCTCGTCTAAATCTTTCATCAGTATAATGCACTGACTCCCCATCGCACTTTAGGTGTTGTTCCAAACTGTCTCCAGAACCTAACTCAGTGCCTGCCTGGCACTTAGACATTCAATAAGTATGTTTGGAATAATTGAATGAATGATTGGACTGAATCTTCACAGCAACCCTGGAGAGCAGATGGCGTCATTTCTATTTTAAGGATTTGGAATCTGCCGATCGGAAAACTTAATTAATTTTCTAAAGGTACAAAGGATTCCAGACTAGAATTCAGGCCTGTCTGTTCCTATTCCACTCTGCAGTCGTGCCTGTAGTGCCCTCTCTCTTCAGACTCACTTAAAATCCTTCTAAGCAGTGGGAACCAAACATCCTATTGAGGAAACACAAGCTTCCCTTCGTAGAAGGATTTTTTTGGTGGGAGATGGGCCTCTTTCTCCTTGTCCATATCTCCCAGCCCTGAACTAGGGCTTAGTTGAATGATCCCACCTGGGGCCTAGAATCTTGAAAGACTAGCTAAAGGACACAGGGACACTGGAGTGTTTGTTTACCACCTTGGGTCATGGATCAAGTGGCATCGGCAGCGGTAGGCATGTCCCAAGCTGTGGTCCCAGAGGTGCCTTTTCTGCAACACCATCTTGACATGTCCCTGGTGCCCAGGTTCCTTTCATTCCTTGTCATTTTCCAATCCTGGCTTTTCAGCTTCTCGGCACTTCCTAGAGGCAACCCACAGTCTTCAAGTGAATTCCCTTTCTCCCTGACTTAGCCAGAATTGCAACCTGCTGATGTACAGCTTCTCCCCATTCATCTTCAGGCCTGTCTCTAGCATGAAGCATCCTTACCTTCCTTTACCCTTGGGGAATGAAGTCTATAGCTTTTTCGGATCGTTAGAATAAT